CTGTTCCTACTTCACCCCCTCAGTGTAGTTGCCATGCAACCTCCATGAGAACATGGACTTGGAATTCCCAGGGGTACCTGGACCAGTCCTGTATACACAGCAGGTATTCAAGATAATTACTGAATTGAAAACACACAGCTCTGATGACGCACAGTATCAGTGAAGAAAGAGAAACATACATGATCAATGTAGGTGACTGTCAGAGTGATGATCATTAAATATATAGTATTTTGGAGCTATGACCATTATAGGGCAGGGGGCACATCTAAGTCCTTTCAACCAGTAAAGTCCTCCTGACCTTGAGAACAACAATGACTCAAAAATGGACAATCAGAATCTTTTTGATGTGTAAGCTTTGGAAAAAGGAAACCTAATTTTCTGAATTCTGGGCTTAGAAGACCAGTGCAGTTAAGACAATAGATGCCCACCCTACCACAATGGATGCAATACTAAGAATAAAGCCAACATATTAACAGATGGAAGTGAGCAGGCAAGAACCCCACTATCCTCTGAGTCTCTGGATCATGCTATGCCTGAAGCTAGAAAATCCTTGGGCCTTATGTAAACCAGTGAATTCCTTTTAGCTTAATTAAGAAAGTTTCCACTGAGTTTATAATTCCTATAACCTGCATAAAAGTCGTCACAGATCACCCTACCAGCCTACTGCTACCAAACAACGGTCTCATTTCTGTAAAGAGTCAGCTGCCTTGAGAGCTGGCATCATGGCACATTCCATTTCCTTGACTATAAAGGTGAATTAAACTGGGTGTGGACAGGATGGTAGGGAGTGTACCTAACAGGACTCTTCAAATTCCATAGGGTGGGGAGGCAACCATCTTGAGCTAAATTCTGGTGCCCCGAAGTAGGGTTAATTCTAACTAGCAGACTACCTTGAAATTCTGAGGTATAATGATATAATGATAAGCAAAGGAAGCCAGACATGAAAGTAACTAGTGTGTGTTTCCATGTCATATCAAGCCTAATAAATTAGGCTAAACTAACACATAGTGATAGTTACCTCGGGATGGGGGTGAAAATTTACTGATGAAGAAAGGTAACCTTTCAGTGCACTCAACATGTCTGTGTCTCTCTTGGCACGGTGATGGTTCTGAGGGGTTTGCATATATGAAGACTCATCAAGCTGTATACTTGTGATTAGTGTTCTTTTTAATAAATGTAGGTTATGCTTTGGGAGGAAAAAAACTTAATACTTTGGTGCCTCATCCTTAACTTAGACCTAGGACACCTACATCCTTCTCTGTCCACTACAGCACCAAGGACGGGAGGCAGTGAAGGTTACTAAGCACCTTCAAGAAAGCCTTAGGAGAGACAGGCTGTGACTTACCATGTGCTCCTACTCCCATCTAAGCGGATCCCCTGAACCCTCCATCACACAGTACTCTGCTATGGGCACTATTGACCACATCTTTTACCCTGCAGAGGCTGGAAGTTCCTCCATCGATACCAAGCTTGGTGGGAGATATGATCACGTTCCTCTCTCTCAGCATTGTTCCCATTCTCTCTAGGTTCTAAAATTAAGCACCACGATTTGCATTTTTAGATCTTCAAGAAAAAGTTCTGGGGTACAGGCTGGGAGTTTAACCTAGTACGATCCTTATGGAACTGGGTTCTACATCTACCAAAATGGAAAAATGCACATTTCCTTTAGCCCAGCAATTCTGTTTCTAGTATTTATCCTAGAGATAGTCACTACAAGTGACAAGTGACAAATGTATGACATTACTTCCTGAAGGAGTGTGTAAAAAAATATTGGGAAAGAATATGCATAATACAGTATATTCTCAGGATCAGCATTTGGCATAATGGCTACGTCACTGGACTCCCATGTAGTTAACCGTGATTCAAGTCCTGGACCCGGTGACTTAAACTCACACCAGGCGCATGTGCGTACATGCTCAAGATCCTGAGAAGAGAATGGAGAAGATGGGATTATGTCGGCCATCTCCCCAGGGGGTGATTTCTCGCTTTCTATCTCCCTGTCTCTCTCTTTCTGACAAGCGCACACACCCTATAGCAAAAAAAAAATACTCTCCAGAAAAAAAAAAGAAGAATAAAAATTTTAAACTGTTCCAAATGAATTTGTGAAAAATATCTTGGGGGTCGAGTTTGTGGCATGGTAGTTGAGGTGGCCAGATCCCACAAAGCTGACTATGTGGTTCAAGTCTTGGGCTCAGTGGCTTGAGAAACATGCCAGCTGCATGGGTGTGCATGCCCAAAATCCTGAAAAGAGGGAGAAATGGAGAAGGGATTGCAGCATGACTATCCCCTATAGGGAGTGCTTGTTCACTTTCCCTCTTTCTCACTCCTCTCTCTGTCTCTTTCCTCTGGGTACACAAATTAAAAGCAAACAAATAAAAATAAAATCTTGGTTTTCATAAAAAAAAAAAAAAAAAGAGACAACACCTGGTAATGCTGTATACCATGCCACCTGTACAATGTAGAGACACAGCTGGTCACAAGATGCAGTATAGATATTTATTTTGTGTATGTAAAAGTCATGCAAATCAGCCTAAAACTTTTAGAGGAATTGTACCTCTACTGTATACCTTTGTCCCCAACAAGCTCAATCACTTTTGTTTTATCAAAATCCAAAAAGAAGGGGCCAGCAGATGGTGTAGTGGTTATGTCACTAGACTCACACATGGCCGATCATGGTTTGAGTCCTGGACTGGGTGACTTCAAATGCATGCCAGGCACGTCGTGCATGTGCACCCAAAATCCCAGGAGGAGAATGGAGAAGGGATTGTAGTGTGGCCATCCCCCTTGGGGGGTGATTTCTCACTTTCCCTCTCACTGCCTCTCTCCCCTCCTCCCCCAGTGAGTGCACATGCCCTAAGGCAAAAAAAAAAAAAAAAAAAAAAAGCCTTAAAAAAAAAAGAAAAAGAAAGGAAGGAAAACAGAGAAAAAGCTTTCTCCAAATCATTCACAACTGAAATCCACAGCAAAGTTGTTCTTATTCTGAAGACCAAAATAAAATAGGGAGAAGGGGTTGGTAGACTGCTTTTTCCAAGTTGCATTCCAGGGTAATAATAAAGCCTACTGTATTTAAAATAACAGTGTAATTAACTCAGCTGCTGGTGTCATCTTATGGGCTTCCAGAACCAAACTACCACTAACAGAAGTTGGGGGAGTAAAGCAAAGAGCACAAATAACCGTATTTCCAGAATGAAAGCATCTAACCTCGCCTTTCCGTTAAATCAGCAAGTGGAAAGAATCTTTTTCAATTTAGAAGGAAAACACCCCACTTTCCTCCTTGTGGTCTTCCTAGTAGCCCTGGTCTCTACTAACAAAGCAAAGATCACTGGAATACCAAGAGTAGTCCCCAGGCTTTGTGTAGGTAAAGTACAACCTTCCTAAACTGCTTGGAATGTGAGGGTTATTTAAATTTTAAATGGAACAAGCAGAGATTGGGCCTGAGACTTTAGTTAAATCAACATCTATATATAGGGTTACAGATTTTTTTTTTTTTTTTAACACACCATAGGGCAGTGTGTTTGCTAGAGAGACTCAGAGAGAAAATGAGAGGAAAAGTTAGAAATTACAACCCCCCCCAGGGGTATTGGCCATGCAATCCCTTCTCCTTCTTTCTCTTCTCAGGATTTTGGGTGCACACGCACCAGGTATGATTTTCTTTTTTTGTTGTTGTTTTTTTTGTTTTTGTTTTTGAGAGGTTTATGCTATAGGGCGTGTGTACTCGCCAGAAAGACACAGAGAGACAGAGAGACAGAAAGCGAGAAATCACTCCCAGTGGGGATGGCCATGCCGCAATCCTTTCTCCTCCATTCTTCCTTTCAGGATCTTTTTTTTCTTTTCTTTTTTTTTTTTAATTTTTTTTTTTTTGAGAGATTTTCACTGTAGGGCGCGTGCGCTCGCCAGACAGACAGAGAGAGACATAGAGACAGAAAGCGAGAAATCACCCCCCAGGGGGGATGGTCATGCCGCAATCCCTTCTCCTCCATTCTCCTCTTGGGATCTTGGGCACACACGCACACGCGCCCGGCGTGAGTTTTAAGCCACCGGGTCTGGGACACGAACCGCGGTCGACTACGTGGGAGTCCAGCGACATAGCCATTACGCTAACTGCTGGTTCCCTCCTTTCAGGATCTTGGGCATGCACGCACACACGCCTGGTGTGAGTTTTAAGCCACGGGGTCCAGGACGCAAACCGCGGTCAACTACATGGGAGTCCAGCGACATAGACATAGCTAACTGCTGGTCCCCAGGTATGATTTTCAAACCCCTGAGTTCAGGGCTTCAACTGCAGCCAGCCATGTGAGAGTCCAGTGTCTAAACCACCACACCACCTGCTGTGACCTCCTTGGACTACAGATTTTTTAAAATGGGACCCTCACCTCTTCTTCATCCCAGTTCATGATTAAATAGTAAGAAGGTATCAGTTGCCTACACTAGCTTAAACAGACCAATGTAAATTCTTGCCAAACAACTTGTAACCTGCCCCCTTCTTGCCTTCCTCTTGAATAAAACTAACTTTTTTAATGTCTATTTTGGATGAGCACATGTTTGGGGAACCAGAGTCTGTTCATCAGGAAGAATTCATTCTGAGCTCTGGATTAAATAAATCACTTTTATTTGACTTATTATACCTCAGTCTTTTTAGGTTGATAGTATGCTCTGTTCAGTACTTTTTAAAAGGAGAAATGGCACAAAACTACAATTGATTTTAAACATAAACAAATAGGGAATAGCGGGTGACATGATGGTTAAGGCACTAGACTCCCATGTGGCCAACCAAGGTTCGAGTCCCCAGACCTGGCGACTTACTTTCTCATTCCCTTCTCCCTTCCTGTCTTTCTCCCAGACCTGGCATCTTGCTTTCTCACTTTTCCTTCTGTCCCTCTCTGGTCAAAATTTTAAAATTAATTAATTAATTAATAATAATAAAATTAAATAATCTTTAAAAAATATACAAATACTCATTTTTAGACTCAATCTATCAAACTAAAGGAGATGCTACTTACGGTGTTGATTTATAGGAAGAATCCGGATATGTTCGCTTCTCATTCACTTTGCCATTGGAAAAGAATGCCATGGAACTGTCAATTCTGTCCGCAGAGTCAGACAGGGGTGGAGGCATGTCCGGTGTGCCAGCAGACACATTTTTAACCTAAAAAACAGCCCCATGAGATAGTTACAGATTTTTGCTATAGGGCGCCGGAGAGACAGAGAGACAGAAAGCGAGAAATCACTCCCCAGAGGGTATAGCCACACCACAATCCCTTCTCCTCTATTCTCCTCTTGGGATTTTGGGTACAAATGCATGTGCATCTGGTGTGTTTTAAGCCTCTGGGTCTGAGATTTGAACTGTGGTCGACTACGTGGGAGTCCAGCAACATAACCATTATGCCATCTGCTGGTCCCAAGATACAGTTATTCTTTACCCTTTAATCTAAAGAGGAAAGAAATGGAAGGAAATCATCATACATAAACTAATCTAATAATTATTTGGCTCACTAAATACAATTAAACCTATAATGACTGCCTTTTTATTAGTAGTATTAACCATCAACTCACTTTTTCTATAAATGTATAGTGTATTGCTAGTTTAAAAAGACTAGACTAGGGGCCAGCAGGTGGCATGGTGGTTTGTTGTAGAGTGCCACCGAATGAATGACCACCAAAGCCAGATTAAGTTTAAAGGACAATGGCATCAAATCGCTGTGCCAACCCAAGGTCTGCCAACTACAAGTTCTAGATTAATGAATTTTCTCATCTATAAAAACTGGGAGAAATACTATTTCCTAAAGTTATTCTGATATGTAAGTGAATTCACCTGACAGCAACAAATGTTTACCACAGAACTTTGGTGAGGGAAAAAGATGTAAATCTCTCTTAAAAGCATGGCCACCTAGATTCCTAACACTGTCAGATTCACGCAGCAGATCTTATAGTCTCTAAATTTCACCTAAAAATCTTTACATCATTAAATATTATTCTGTAGCTGATAAAAAATTACTGAAAAAAAAATCAAAGACCTTTAAACCACCAATTAGTTGTTTTAAGATAAAGGAACAGAAATAAGGTATAGAAAAATAAAATAATTTCACAAACTATGTGAAAAAGTGCAACTTTTCAGAAATAAGGAGGATGGGACTGCTCTAGCTTGGTGATTAGGACAATGGCATCAGATCACTGTGCCAACTCAAGGTCTGCCAACTACAAGTTCTATATGTTTTTTAAAATTATTTATTTAATTTTATTTATTCATTCATTTATTTTAATTTGACCACAGAGAGATACACAGAGAGAGAGAGAGAGGGAAAGTGAGAAAGCAAGCCACCAGGTCCAGTATTTGAACCACAATCGGCCATGTGGGAGTGTCCAGCGCCTTAACCACCATGCCACCTGTTGGTCCCACAAGTTCTATGTGGGAAGCCGCCCACATCAAAATGGCTGCCATGACCTTCACATAACAAAAATGGCCGGTGAGACCTTGACACATACACCAGGAACACAGAACTTCCTGGTTCAGACAAACCGACAGGTCCTCAATTAGGTCCGCTGTAAACCCTGCCTACTTTCTCCTGCCTTGTGTATATAAGAAAGTGTTCTGGCCCTCAATAAACGAGCGAAACCTTCATACCATCAAGAGTTGTGACACTGTGTGAGCTGTGATACTTCTTTTGCTCCCGTGCTGAGACGCTGCGCCGGTTCCAGACCTCCACCCCCTCACTCGGGTTCTCTGCCCGATATGTCCCGCAGGCCGGGACAGTTCTATATTAATAAATTTTCTCATCTATAAAAACTGGGGGAAATACTATTTCCTAAAGATATTCTGATGATTAAATGAGCTGACACTACAGTGCCTTTTGAACATAAATAAAAATTCAGAAGATGCTAAAATCTAGAATTAAGGTCATTGAATCTGATTAAAAACTTACAAGTATTTGCAGGTTACAACACTTTTAATCGGATTAGTTTGCTATTATAAATCCTTGCAATTAGGTTCGGCATAAATACAGTGTATTTCCCCGCAATACACACACCTTACATCTTAAATTTTCCATTCACTGCAGCACCAAAACATGACATGCACCTCCCCTACACTGCAGTATCACATACCAAAAGACATTCTACTCACCCCTCAAAGTACAAAAAAGCATTCTTGATTGTTTAAAATTCAGAGTCGGAAAAGAATGGAATCATTTCCCCCTGAAGTGGAATTTGGCAGTGACTGGGAAACCGGTAGGTGGGTTGCCAGGGAGTGTGCTTAGATCCCACCGCAGGGGGGACGGGGTGGGAACCATTTTGGCTCCCCCTGAATTCCTTACAAGAGAACACTTAGCCCAGCTTCACAGGGGAATGCTGGGCCAAACCCAAGGCTTATTCTTATTCTAGAGGCCACAATAGAATTTAAGAACGTTTTTACTTCAAATCCCACTTTACACTTCTCTGGACCCACCTGCCCCCAGTAACTTTACCAGAGCCTCTGTATCCTTCTAGATTTATTACCTGGAATGCCCTTCCCCCCTTTTGTTGCCAGCTAATCCTAAATTAGGCGTAACTGCCACCACCTCTTAGAAGTCTTCTACACAAGTCTCTGCTGGGCGGGGCACTAACCTGGTTCCTATCTCCCCACACCTGGGCATGCAAACCTCCTCCGTGGTAGTGGCTTGCTCACATATCTCCTACTTCAATAGCCAGTGGCCTGTTCCTAAGCCCCTGCTTACAACAGACCACATACTGAGCCGATAAGATCATTTAGTGGGCACAAGGTACGCCTTTTTCAGAAACCAGAAGCTGTGGCTCAAGAGTTAGACTACTTCCCCAAGGACCCAGACCCAGTAAGTGGCAAAACGGGCACTCTACTGCTATCATCTTTGAATCTCCAAAGCCCAGCATAGTATCTGGCACAACCAGGAGCCCAGAGTGTGCTGCAGAAAGGTGACCTTGTTGACTGCGCTTCTATTCCTATGTTGTGTATATCCAAGCTTCTTATCAATGAGCCACTCTGAATGACCCTTCTCTCTTAGTGCCAGCAGAAGTAACTAGCTTGACTACAGACGCCCTCATTCTGGCACAGATCTATCCTTACTTAAATCTTTTATATAAAAACATAAAAAATTCCAAGGCAGTGTTCACTTTGGAAGTTCATATACTGAAACTGGAAAAATGCAGATTATTAGCATGGCCCCTTTACAAAAATGACACCCAAGTTCATGAAGCATTCCAATTAAAACAAAACAAACTCAGACAGCTGTGGTAACTCAAAGATGAAAAAGCATCAGCCTTTGTCTTTAAAAAGCTCTTAAATTGGGACCAGAGGTGGCTTGGTGGTTGAGGCCCTAGACTCCCACATGGCTGACTACGGTTTAAGTCCAGAATCTGGTGGCTTGCTTTCTCACTTTTCCTTTCTCTCTCTCTGATGAGCACATGCGCCCTATAGCACATTTTAAAAATTATAATAATAACAAATAAAATTTTAAAAATATACTTCAAAGATCTTAAATCTAAAGACAGAGGCTAAATATGTACATAAAATAAAAAGTAAGGCCTTTTTATTTTTGAGGGTTTTGCCTTAGGGCATATCACTTGCCAGAGAGAGAGAGACAGAGACAGCGAGAAATCACCCCCTCGGGGTGATGGCCATGCCATAGTCCATTCTGCTCCTACGATCTTAGGCACACATGCACATGTGCTCGGCATGATTTTCAAGCCACCAGGTCCAGGATTCGAACCAAGGTTGGCCATGTGGGAGTCCAGTGACATAACTACTATGCCATCTGCTGGCCCCCCATTTTTTCATTTTTTTATGCTTCCCTAAAATACTACTTTTCCTTTAACCAACTTCACAGTAACAAGGCAAAGTGAACATAAATCCAGAATCTGCTGCTTTTGAAATAGAACAGAAGGAAGAAGGAAGACCTACTGAGGAGTGAAGAGATTAAGAATTTATACAAGGAATCCCCAATCTGTATTTCCTATTAGAGAACAGGAATATCTGAGTTTCATGGTTACTATTGATAGCAGTGAGCCAAAAGAAACCTGTAAAGCAAGAGTTACAAGGGAAAGGGGCTAGCAGGTGGCATAGCAGTTAAGGCACTAGACTCCCACATAGCCAACCACAGTTCAAGTCCTGGACTTGGAGGCTTGCTTTCTCACACACATACTCTCTCTCTCCTTCTCTCTCTGGTAAAATTTAAAAATAATAAAAATTAAATAAATAGTTTAAAAAATAGTTGTAAGAGAGAAAGGGAGCTAGGTTGCTTCAAGGTAAGGGTCAGACCACCAGCAGCGTAGCCAATGGAAAGGACCAGTCCACCGACCCAGAAAAGGCTAGGCTCTTTGATACCAGTAAAAGGGTTGTGATAAATGTACCCTGTTTTGAAAGAATTTACACTGGACAAAGATCACAGAAGAGGGTCTTGGGGGTGGGGGAAGGCACAACACCTAGTGAAAGTTCATTACCCAAAGCTGTCTGCAGCGACTGATTGGCCGTCATGGCATTCTGTTCAGCTGGATTTCCATCAGCCTAAGGGAGACTGCAAGCCTGGAATTATCTTCAGAAGGAATGTCTTGTGTCAGTCAGTCACAGAGGCAATCATAAGTAGGCTAGTCAATTATCCCTTCCTCATCTTAGATCTCTGGTCCTTAATTTTTTTTTTTTTTTTAATAGCAATGTCTCTCCTGGATAAGCTATCTTCCCCATAGGATCCCCAGTCAGCCCACTCAATGATATAGCTAATGTTTTTTTTTTTTTTAAAAACACACACACACACACACACAGGACCAGCAGTTGGCGTAATGGCTATGTTGCTAGACTTCCATGTAGTCAACCATGGTTTGAATTCTGGATCTGGTGGCTTAAACTCATGTTAGCGCTTGTGTGTGCGTGCCCAAAATCCCGAGAGGAGAATGGAGAAGGGATCGCAGCATGGCCATCCCCACTGGGGGTGATTTCTCGCTTTCTGTCTGTCTCTCTCTTTCTGGTGAACACACGCGTCCTATAGCAAAAACCTCTCTGAACAAACAAAAAAACCAACAGGGGCCAACAGGTGGCACAGTGATTAAGGCACTTAACCACTTGGCCAACCGCAGTTCAACTTCTGGACCTGGTGGCTTGAAAATTACACTGGGTGCATATTTGTACATGCCCCAAATCCCAGGAAGAGAAGAGAGGAGAGGGGGTTCTGGTGTGGCCATGCCCCCAGGATGTAATTTTTCACTTTTCCTTTCACTGTCTCTCTTCACTCTGACATGAGCACATGTCCTATGGCAAAAACTTTAAAAAAACAAACCCACAAAACCCCTGCATCTTTTTTAAGAGACTTTTTTTTTTTTTTTTTTTTTTTTTTTTTCTATAGTGTAGGTTCTCTTCATTGAACAACACGTGTGCACTTGCTAGAAAGACAGACAGAAAGAGAGAAATCACCCTATCCTCTAGCAGGTATGGCCATGCTGCAGTCTCTCCTCTTCCATTCTTCTCTTGGGATTCTGGGTGTACAAGCACACGCACCCAGCGTGAGTTTTAAGCCACTGGATCCAGGACTCGAACCATGGTTGACCACATGGAGGCTAGCAACGCAACCACTACACCATCTGTGGGTCCTAAAACCCCCTACATTTTAATAATCATAAATCTTAAACGATTCAGAGCCTGCAAAAAATTAGACAATTGTTTTTTGAGAAGTTTTTGCTATTGGGCGCGTACACTCGCCAGAAAGATAGAGAGAGACAGAAAGTGAGAAATCACCCACCAGGGGGGTGGCCACACCACAATCCCTTCTTCTCCATTCTCCCCTTGAGATCTTGGGCACACATGCACACGCGCCCGGCAAAAATTATACAATTCTAAACAGCAAGTGATGAACAATTTTCTCAAGTAATTTGAGAATAGCTCTAACAAATTACAAAGCAAGGTTAAAACAAAATTAAAGACGTCTGCCCAGCCATGGTGATGCGCAGTGCTAAGACACTGTGCATAGCACACTGTGGGCTCACGGGAGGCCCAGATTAATTCCCAGTCCAACCAACCCTAAAGCCTGGAGCAGTGGAGGGCACCTGTAATCCCAGCAATTTAGCGGGGTGAGGCTGAGCATTGTGCATAGTGAGATCACGTCTTGAACAAAAAAGAAAGGAAAGAAAGAAAAAAGTCAAATAAAACTAAAATTTAAAAAGATTTGTCTTAAACTAAGAATTGAGGGGAGAGGAAAATTTAAGAAGCAATCACTCCCAAAACCAAATGCTGTATTTACTATTCAGAAGCCAGCGGGAACCTCAGGCCAGGTAAACTGATCCAATCTCTGCCCTGTGGCTTCAAGTGCAAATCCACACCCACAGCCCAGCTGGTTTCTCTACTCCCAGATTGCTCTGCACTTCCGGTCCCCAGTGTACCCACTCACATTTAAACTTTACCAAGGAGAAGTCGCAAGGCAGCAGGAGAAAAGATAGCCATGCTGAAGCTGTGGGGGGAAATACAACTAACTAGACAAAGAGGGACTCAGGCTCACTCTTGAGATTAATTTCAAAAAGGAAAAGTGCTCACGCAGGCCAGGCTTAAGGGAAATCAGCAAATAATTCAGGGGAATACACAGGGGAATTTTACTAAGATTCATATTCTAATCAATAAAGAACTTAGGTATTTCTAAAAGGTCAAAATGAAATAAACATGCTTTCAAAAGATCTTCACACAAGGTAACTATGATAGGGATACATTTTTATTCAAAATGTAATGACACTCAGAGACGCAGAGCTGAGAAAAGGGAGGCGGGGAGGCGGGGCCAGAGCTAGAGCCAGAGCCAGGCTGAGACCAAGCAACAGGCTGCCGGGGCTGGCCCACGCCGATCGGGCCCTGCGAGTGTTTCAGAGAGCCAGCGGGCAGGAGAGGCAGCAACTTCTGGCCTGAGCCAGGGACAGCCCAAAAAGCCAGACTCCATGCCTGCCTTCAGCCAGTGGCCGGAGAGCACATCCTGTGATAGACTTCGCTCAGCCTCCCACCAGGGCTGGCCCTCAGGAAGGCATGTTCAACAGGACAACCAGGTAGGTCACCACGACTGAGAACTCCACGTCGGCCCTACTGCCAAACAGGCCAAGGCCTCCAAGAAGTCCACAGACCACCCTGAGTATTCAGACACGATCGTGGCTGCCATCCAGGCCGAGGAGAACTGCGCAGGCTGCTGATGCCAGCTCATCCAGAAGTACATCAAGAGCTGCTACAGGCAGGTGAGAAGGCCGACTGGCAGATCAAGTTGTCCATCAAGTGTCTGTCACCACCAGGGTCTTCAAGCAGACCAAAGGAGTGGGTGCCTCGGGGTCCTTCCGACTGACCAAGAGCCATGAGCCCAAAAGATCAGTGGCCTTCAAGAAGACCAAGAAGGGAACCAGCAGTTAGCGTAATGGCTATGTCGCGGGACTCCCACGTAGTCGACCGCGGTTCGCGGCTCGGACCCGGTGGCTTAAATCTCACGCCGGGCGCGTGTGCGTGCGTGCCCAAGATCCCGAGAGGAGAATGGAGGAGAAGGGATTGCAGCGTGACCATCCCCCCTGGGGGGTGATTTCTCGCTTTCTGTCTCTATGTCTCTCTCTGTCTGTCTGGCGAGCGCACGCGCCCTATAGCGAAAACCTCTCCAAAAAAAAAAAAAAATTAAAAAAAAAAAAAAAAAAAAAAAGACCAAGAAGGAAGTCAAGAAGGTGGCCACGCCAAAAAAGGCAGCCAATCGGAAGAAGACTGCTTCCAAAGCCCCAAGCAAGAACCCCAAAGCCGCCCCAGTCAAGAAGGCCAGGAAGAAGCTGGCTGCCAGGCCCAGGAAAGCCAAAAGGAAGGCCAAATGTGTGAAGCCCATCCAAAGCAAAGTCCATCGCCAGGAGGGCAGGCAGGAAGAAGTGTTAAGGCTTTCCTAGTGGACACTCCTCCCTGTCGCTTTTCTGTAAATACTTTTCTCCTTCCCCCTGATTCTCATCTGCAGTCCTTAACCCTTTCTATTCTGACTCTGAGAGACAGAATTTGGATTCCTTAGACATTGTGGGGAATTATGTGTTTTTTTTTTTTCCCCCTTAACCCGCTATGCAAGAACAGCAACGACCAATCTCATCTCTGTAAGGATGAGAATGTACTTACATTTCATTTCATTGATTTGTTATTAATCTCTATGGGTTTAGAGATCTGGGTGGGCTTGTGTGTGTGTTTTGTTCAATGGTGTGTTTGTCCTGAAGGTAGATAGGGAGGAGGGAGAGACAAGG